TGAATGATAAAACTAGTTAACATCTTATAGACGGGATATGTCAATGACCATGTATTGTATAATTAGTCAAAACAGAGATGTATTGATAATATTGATTTATAATCCGGACAATTGTTAATACTGTGGCTTTGATATATAGCTTTGTAAAATATTTTTGTTATAATAATAATAATAAAAAAAAGAAAAACGACACCACGTTGGCATATGCTACTCTATATTTCCACTAAGTGGTGAACTGATGGCCCATATTTAATTCAGACATTCACTCAACCATAAGCAGTTTTCAGTCTACAAAGCAGTGTACTTAAGAAACATTCATTGCAGTGGGTGTTAGGATTCACTGCCATACTTTCCTTAAAACATCTGTAACAGCTGCCCTTCATGATAAAACAGGAGAAACTGTCCCAGTTCATTCAAAAAAGAATAGTGTCACTGCCCCCCCCCCTTTATATATATATTTTTATATGCAAGGTACTGACTGATCTAGGAATTGAATTGGGATTCAGGCTTCTCCTGTGTTCTAGTTATTCTTACAGAAAGAGTATGAAAAATACAGCCTATAGTGCTCAACTGTTATGTGCCTTCACAATGTTTGCAATTTATGGTAACCCTATCATGGAGTTTACTTGACAAGATTTATTTGGAGGAGGTTAGCCATTGTCTTTCCCTGAGGCTGAGATAATGTGACTTGTCTAAGGTCACCCAATGGGTTTCATGGCCAAGCAGGGAATTGAACCATGGTCTCCGGAGTTTTAAGTCCAACACTCAAACCTCTACACCATGCTGGCTCTCATTATGTGCTGTTATGTGGCCTCAAACTGGTTCCAAGACTCTGATAAATATGGTTTTGTCTCCAAGTCTGCCAAAAATGAAACAAAAAATTGACACAACATCATTTCCAGTTGTGTTGGGAGTGCTGGTGCAACCCCTATGGAGATGACAAATGGTCCCCACCCTCTCTGCAGGTGCCCATGGCTTACAGTGACCATGGAGATATGCTGATCCCATCAATTCCAGAAAGCAATCAAGCTTTCGTTTGGAATGTTCTATACTTCAAAACAGAAATTTGAACAACAGCTTCACAACACCCCACATAAAGAGGGTGGATTTATTTTTAAATATTTCATCTTCACTGTAACTGTTCTGTAAGGAAGGAAGAACAGGTAGAGATCATGACACTGAATGCCCATAGACAGGTAGTGTTGGAGTGTCCAAACCTACCAGCTTATCTAGGTTAAAAAGATATACAACAAATAAAATCACATCTATCCAGGAATATCAAGTGATGCCATATTTTCAAGATTCTTCACCTCTACGGGAAGAGGGCACTTTCTAACAAAGAACTGGTACAGTTATCTCAAATTATTAGACCACTCATTTTAGATTGAACAGTTTTTTCAAAGAAGTCTGTCTCCTTCAGTAGCCCTGTCTCAGTTCAATAAAAATATAATCTCAAATGGTTGATGCCTACAGCTTCTCTTCTATGCACACAGACACTTCTTTTTCCCAAGTTAATGTGATGAAGGGCCAGCACTCTCAGCCACTCCACAGCCAGAAGTAGCTCCAGGTGTTATTTCAAGTTCATCTGTTTGGGAGTCAGGGATCAAAAACTCCAGGAGAATGTCTGAGAGGCAGTAAACTATGTGCCTGAAAGAAAAGGAAAAAAGAGGATTGCAAAAGTCAGATGGAGATTCCAAGGGTGAATGGCCAGCCGTATGAAATGGTGACCACTTGTAAAGTGTACAGATTACAATGGAGAAGAGGAAATAACTAGATGCCTTATAATCCATTTATCTACATTACTGAACAGTCTGAATGTTGAATGGTAATTCTGAGCATTTATATTGTTACCATGTTTGTATTACTTCATATACTTTATGAGGAAAAGCCATAGCTTGGTGATAAAGAATATATTTTGTGTGCTAAAGATCTCAGGTTCAATCCTGGGCATCTGAAGATACTGCTGTAACACTCTTGCCTGAAACTGTTTTTCTAAACATCCTTAAACTGGATTAGTATTAGGCCACAGCCTCACTCAGCAAGCACTACATATGGCTTTGCTCAACACTGTTTATTATTATTACTACTACTACTACTACTACTATATTTATATTATTTCCCCCCAAAGTTGGACTCCATATGAGTTTTGAGTTCTTCAGGAAAAGGCTTTTGCTCAATTCTACCAACCCTCAAAGATATGTTGGGTGAGAGCACAAAAGAGGGCCTTCGTATTAGCAGCTCTCGTGCTGTAGAATATCTTTCCATAATCCTTCTGTATTCTCCTTTCAAGGGTGGGCAGACCTTTTTTTTCAAACAGGCATTTGGCTATTAACAGGTTGTGCAAGTAGATCTTTTAAATGGGGGAAGGCATCTTGTATTCTTTCTCCCTCTCCAGCTATATATATATTAAAGTTCTTAAACTGAGTGTTTCATTTTAATATTATAGTTTATTTAATTACTTTTTAATTGTCCTCCAACTTTACAAGAGATTGGTCTTAGCTGAATTTTTGTTTTAACTTGTGTTGTAAGCTGTCTTGGGTCCTGTAAAAGGGGAAAGGTGGAATATTAACTAACTAACAACTAATAACTGAGCTGGGTTGGCCTTTTCACTCCTGGCTGCAGACTGAAAGCATAATATCCCAACTGTTACCCAGGAGTAATCCACACTGAATTGAATGGGACTTTCTTCCATCAAAAGTATATAAAGTTTGTTGTTGTGTGCCTTCAAGCATTTCTTTTGGTGACCCTATCATAGATTTTTCTTGGAAGAATTTGTTTGCCCTTGCATTCTTCTGAGGCTGGGAGAGTATGACTTGCCCAAAGTCACTGTTGGTTTCCATGGCCGAGCAGGGGTTCAAACCTTGATCTGCCAGTGAGTCCAACACTCAAACCACTACACTATACTAGCTTGTATACAGAGTAGCAGTCTAAGTAGTTAAAGGTGAGGGACAGTGAGCTACCTTAAGGTAAAGGTATTCCCCGTTGAAAAGGTTGTCAAGTCGTATCTGACCATAGGGGTCAGTGCTCATCTCCGTTACTCAGCCGAAGAGCCAGCGTTGTCAGAGACTACTCTGTGATCCTGTGTGGCCAGCATGATTGCACAAAATGCTGTTTACCTTCCCACCAAAGTGGTACCTATTTATCTGCTTGCATTTGCATGCTTTCGAACTGCTAGGTTGGCAGAAGCTGGGATTAGGGATGGGAGCTCATCCCATCATGTGGCACCTGGACCTTGAACTGTCAACTTACTGATCTTGCAATCAACAGTCAGCATCTTAACCACATGAGTCACCGCATCCTAACTACCTCAGGTTAAGACATTTATGGAAGAAGTTAAAGCCTGAATGAAGACTTTCTGCTTCAAAGCTGAGTCTTCATCTACTTATGATACACTAGTACATATGGGAGACTGATGAACCTGTACATACTAGAGACCAGTGACACCCACAGCCACCTAACACATACCAGGGATTATTGGGAATACCTTTACCTTAAGGAATGGAATGGAGTTTCCTGGAAGAAGTGTAAAAACAGTGAACAGTCTCTCCCTGCAGTGAAACATGTTGCTGCAGATCCCACCTGTTCCAGGCAGTTAGTTATTACTCTTAAAGCCCTAAATGGTTTGGGTCCAGGTTACCTACAGAATTACCATCTCCTGTATAATCTGCCCCGTACACTCAGGTTCTCTGGGAGACATTTATTTCAGCCAACCAAAACTAAGTGGATAGTTTACCCAGAGGACATTTTCTCTGGCCAGCCTTGGACAGTTGGAAGAGATTCATCAGCTCGAAATGCTGTCTGAGTTTAAATCAGCAGTAAAGACCAGTTTCTTCTGGTTAGCCTATTCAGATTATTTTTAAATTATGATTTTTAATATGTATTGGTTTTATATGCTCTTTTAACTGATGTTATAAGTTGTGTTATTTGTTGTTGTTCCCTGCCTTGATCCAGAATGAGAGGCAAGTAAGAAACAACAACAACAAAATTCCTTCTATTCTAGTGTAAGTGCTAGTGCTTATATAACAAGCTACATAAAAGAAGGAGGTATCAAGTCTTCAGGAAACCCCATAGTCTGCAAAAACATCCTCCCATTTTTAAAGAAAGAGACAGATCCCCAAAGAGCCTTATGGGAACAGAGTGTGAATGGGGTGGTGGTGAAATGGAGTGGTTATGACTCTGAAAAGGAAGCACTCCATTCTGCAGGCCCAGCAAATCCGATTGCTAAAACACAACATTCCATATGATCCCTAAGGTCTAGTAATTTGATCCAATTGAGTATTTTTCTTAAGTAACCCACCACACATATATCTTTATTTTGCCTGTAAAGATGCCTTGTTGCCAAGGTTACCTGTTTATGATAGGATGTTGCATGGACTCCAGGACTAGGCTCCAACTTTGTCGACATTTACTGGTCCCAAGGATTTCTAGAATTAATTCTGTGGACATCAAGAGATTGGCATGAATTCCCAAGAACAATCTGACTCTTAGTATATAACCCAAGGTGTACATGGTAGGAGTTTTCCATATTTAGTTACCAAGTATATGCTCGAAACTGAATACTGCCAGAAGTCAAATACCGCTTGCACTTTCCAAATATAGGTCTCAAGAACATATCTTTAAAATAAAATGCATTGTCCAGCTCTCCCAGCTATCACTTCTAGAGATAGATTCCTGATGAGACAAACAATCTTAATCATGAAATGCCTGATGAAATGTCTTTAAACAATAAGTGCATTAATATGCTTAAGAAGCCAGGTTTGCCTAGTGTAAAAATTCTTATTGGCTATGAAGCACTGTCTAACACTCTAGGCTGGAATAGGAGGGCAATATCAAAATTCTAAGCATGTCATCTTCTTAAAAGCAAATCAACTAAGCTTTTAGCCCTCAAAACTGCACTGGTATAATTTATAGCTCAACACAATGGCTTATCAGGTAAAACACATTACAGGAAAGGGGGGGAAAAAAAAGAAACCGAGGAAAGAATGTTCATGTTCTAATTATTTCGCACGGTTACCTAATCTTATCCAATAGAGGGAAACTTGCTGTATTATTTCTCTCATAATGCTCCAGATGCAACTTTCACTTCTAGAAGGGGAAGAACCAAATGACACTTGGGTCAAGGCATGTGACCTTGGTGTCTCACTTTCTTGCTGCAGCCACACAGAATGGCTACTGGTGGTGACAATTCTGGGAGGGCAGGAACTCATCTTTCCTTCTGATGCAGCCTGGCAGAAACTGGATATGCCCTCTCTTATTTCTCTCAGCTCCTCTCCTCATTCCAGAGACCTATTCCATTTTAGCTCCAATACCTACCCTAGTATCTAAGGCAGCAGGAGTATTGCCCTAGGATAGAGTGAGGAATTCTGGACCACGGTTTACCAGATTTGTACATCTACTTAGAACCTCCACATTCACTAACCAAAGCCAGGTACATAAGAGTGGGCCAGGGAGGCAATCATATGCTGAGATCTAGTAATAGGAAGAATTTGAGTTCAGATCTTAGTGATTGACACCAGAACCAAGTCCTCAGGTTTCTTCCAAGAATTCTTGTTCCGCAATATGATTTAGGAGAAAAAGAACAATCTAAAAAACTGGGAGCCAGAAACCCCTTTCTGATCCACTAGATATCACCAACTTTCACTATGTCCTAAATGATATGCCTGCCCCTGCTGCACACCACACTAAGCTAGTTTGCATCACCAATTCATTGCACTCAGGCACGTCCGGTTGCTCCCATGTCAATGGAGCAGTAAATCTGCTCTGTGCTTCAGTCTGAACTTTAAAGGGA